TGCAATCATAATTAAAATTTTGTATCACCTAAAATTCTTTAAATATTTTGTTGTTCTATTATTAGTTACCTAATCAAGATATAGTAACTTATAAATCTTCTAGTTTTATGATTTAAGATACTATGATACTAATAATTTTAAAAATTTCTTTATTATTACAATTAAAATAATATTAGTTCAATTCACTAACAAACTTTTTAATAATCAATTTTACATTTTACCGATAGGTGCTATAAAAATATATAAGCATAAATACCAAAATTATAGAGGTAAGCATTTCAATTATAAAACTTTAACTCACTATTCAGTGAGAATAATAGTTCATTAAATGTATCTTATATTTTAGCATTGTATTTAATGCATGTTATAATTTCATAATTTCAATAATAAAAATAATATGTAGGTTAAAAATTTTGTATGATAATCACTATAATTGATTTGTGATTATCTTTATATGAATCTTTTATTTATTTTCTAGTCTCATATAGATAGCTGAAAAATAATTAATTTTATAATAATTGTTTAAAAATAATAATAAATTAATAATTTGTATTAAAACTAAATAACACATTTTATTTAAAATTTTATTTGATTAATATTTAACTATATATTATAAAATATAATTTTTAATAAAAAATATTAATTACATTTAAAAGTAATATTAATATTAATATTATTATAATTTCTATAGAAATCTTTAGATTTTTGAATTTTAATATATTAAATTATCATCTGACTTATTTTTTAATAAAGTTAATATTATTATATCATTCAATTAATTCAGATGCCTTAGAAAATCCTAAAAAAAATAGTTAGTTCTAAATAATAAAATTAAAAAATTTCAATAAATGTTTGTTTATATACTAAATTGATTTATATAATTAGATAAATCCTTTAATACTATATCTTTAGTAAGAATTATAAAAGAAATATTATCTTATTTATACTTAATAAATTGATATTAATAGATGAATACATTTAAAATTGTCAATGTATTCTAAAATTTTAAAATTGTTTTTTAGTTTATGAAATAAATTGAGTTGTCTTAACTCATCATTTTTACTTTCTAATATAATTAGTTTCTTTCATATATTATTTATTAATGTAAAATGAAAAATAAATTAAATTCTGTGAAATAAAAAAAAAAAATTTAAGAAAGAAAAGAAGTATAGGAAAAAAATAATAATAAAAAAGTTTAAATTGCTAATTATGTATAATTACATGTTATGTTTAATGAAGAATATGCTTTTAGAGATTACCTATTTATTTCATAGAGTTAGAAATACCATAGTTTTTTCCTAAAGGAAATAAATCATAATATTTCTAACCTTTCATGAAATAAATAATACAAATTTATAAATTCTTATTATTAAAAAATAGGTTTTTATAAAAATTAAGTTTAAATTTTAAAAAAAGAAATATTAAAGGTTTTAAAAAAGTTTATTTATATAATATTCTTTTTTTTTACTTTTTAAATTTGATTTTTAATAAAAAGAATATTAAAAGAAATAAAGCTATTTTATAAATATTAATATTATTTGAAATATATGTAATCTTTAATTTTTATTACTTATATTATAAAAAAAAAAAAAATTCTAAATTTATTAATTATTTAATAATCATATTATTAAAATTTGATCAGTCAAACTATTTTTTCTTTTATTATAAAATCTATTTATTTATATATTAAAATTTTAAATTATAAAATTATACTAGAAATTAAATATTCATATAAATAGAGCTTGAATAACCTAAATTTTAAAAGATAGTAAGAAATAAAAATAAATTTAATAATAATGTTTAATTTTGTAAATTTATAATAAAAGAATATTATATTAAAATTACTTTAAGATAAATCTAATCTATATAATTTAAAATAATATTTTTTAACCTTAGTAAACGTTAATAACAAGTGAAAAAATATAGATCAAGGTTGTATTTATCAAATTACCAAAAATTAAAAAAAAAATAAGATCGGTTTTTAGAATCAAATCAGTAATTAGTGATGAAGTATACTATGTTTATGAAATATTTACAAAACCATTTGGGCGAACAACAAACTTTATGTAAAGCTCGGGATTTTTTTCAAAAGGAAATGAATAATCTACTGCGCCTATGGCTCCCGTTTTAATAATTTAGAAAGGTTTGAGGGGAAGTGCAAATGGTTATATTGGCTTCTTAGAAAAGTTATTTATATAAATTTGATTTAATATTTTTGCCACAAATGTAATAAGTTAAATCCCTTTTATTTATATATGGTCTTAATGTTATAACTCCTAATGCCGAATTAAATAATAGGTGGTAATAGATGGTCCAAAAGAAAAAGAATTTGAGACCATTTTAACAAAGGATTAATTTATTAAACTTAAAACGTATTTAATCAATTCATGTTGTCAAAGAGATTTCAAGGTAACGGGCAAAGCAATTCCATAAAATAATCTTTTTTTTTATTATTATCATTTATACTTTTGTTTTTTGTGGCTTCGCAAGCTTATGAAAAAATAATGCACCGCCATGATCGATCTTAGAAAAGCCGTTTGGAGACAATTATATTTACAAGCCAAAATTCAATTTTTTTTTAACAGCCTATTTACTAAAAGGAAGAAGAAAAAAAATCTCGGAAACTACTTGAGGCAGTGCAATGGCGGCGCAGAATTTTTATATTGATCATTAAAATAATTTATAATTTGCATAGCCACATGGTTTACTAAGATAAATAAACAAAATGTCTTTGAATTTGACGAAAAGATGTATCATTGAGCGATTTTAATTATTTCTTCACCAAAATAACTATATATTAATGATTGATTTTGGAATAATGCGCAGGAGCAAAAAGATGGTACGTGAAAAGTGTAATGCTCACGTCGGATCAGAACAAATTTTGCTAACCAAATGATTCCGATATCTAGCTCCAACGCATCAACGAATCAAAAGCAACGCAGTTCTTCGTTCTTACGTCAGTTTGCCAATCCATCATAGATACATCGCTAGAAACTCGAGTATATCTCCGTAATATGAAAGAATTGGAAGAATTGGAAAAGATCAAAAGAAATTCATATAATTGTAACATCGATCCTTCGAAAGCGAGAATGACAAATATCACCGAAGAAAACATTATTTTTATTTCTTTTCAAATCTTTCAAGTGTGGTTTTGTTTTAACGCGGTAAGGGTTTTATAAAATTGTATACGTGCTTTATTAACGAAAAGTGTTCATTTCATTAATTGAATTCCTTTAGATCTATAATCAAAATACCATTCAGATCATTACCATTGCTGCAATTAATTTTTGTTGTGCCTGTTTAAGCATTGTAAGTTTAAAATGAATACATGCCACGAGTCACAATTACTTATCGATTGAAACCTTAAACAATTCCTCACAGGTTCAACTTCTTGAAGTCAAAAAATGGTACCATGATTTCGAATCGGCGTGTTCCGGCCAAAAGACATCGGAAAGAAATCATCTCACTATTGACATAAATCATCTCACTAATGACATACCGTTAATAATAACATTAATGGTATTTGCTACCATCATATCTTTTCTAAGTTGGAAATTATATCGTCAATTTGGTTGGAATATCTATAAAAAAATCGGGGGTGACATCTCTATGCAAGGTACGTAAAAAATCCATTTCTGATTTGATTTGTTTTGGATTTAATTGATTTTAATTAACCTGCCTTGATGTTAGCCATGTACAGAACGTACTTAATCTATGTAATGTTACTTAAGCTTGGGTTATTCTTTATATTGGGATTAGCGATAGAATCATGTTCAGTATTCGGAAGAATTTTGTCAGTCAAAGGTCAAGAAGATAAAGATCTTCCAAAGGCATTTTCTTCGGTTCATATAGGTGTAACGGCAATGATTATTATAAATCAAATATTGGGATATCGTTCGGTATGTTAAAAGGGTGATTGTGTTTATTCTTATTCACGAATTTTTTAAATTATTTTATTTATATTTATAGATTAGAAAAGAAATGAAATTGGGCATGATATTAGTATGTTCATTCTGGGTTGTTATTATTATAGATTTTTGTATACTCTTAAGGTATTCAATAGGAACTGTTACGGACAGTTGGTACTTTTACACTGTGTTTCGTAAGTAAAAGATCTATTATAAAACTTTTGATTTTAAGATCCTAAAACTTTATCACTAATGTTGTTATTGTTTGCTAGTGTCCGTGGGAATCACACTGAGTTTGGTAAGATTTGAGATTTTTGCAAATTATTCCACATTAGTTTGACTAACATGAACCTCATTTAGCTATCGTTAATATGGTCCGTACGCGTTAAAAATAATTTTGGAAAGGGACTACAAGATCATAGTGAGTTATTATTTGAGAGGTTCCTTTGCTTTATGTTCAAACGAATTTTTTTTTTTAGATCCTTTTTCTCCCCACATAGTTGATCAAGAAATTAGAGAACCGAAAGCTGGAAATAATCCTTCCCTTAAAGACGTAAAAAAGCCCCCCAAATGGGTAATTGATGATTGAACAATTAGGACCTTTTTTTTGTTTGATTGTAATTTAGAGTTGAAACTTTTGTACAATAATTATATCATATATATTTAAATTTTTTTTTTTTTTTAATAAAATAAAATTAGTTTTTTTTTTTTTTTATCATTAAAATTTGATCTGAGATATTTTTTCGCGCGTCAAAAATCATGTCCTAAAATGGAAACTCGAATCGTGAATAATATCCTTTAATTGATAATCATTTCTTACTTTTGAGAAAAATTTTCAATTTTTTTTTTTTGGTTTTTTTTTCAAATTTTTTTTTTTTTTTTTTGATACTTAGGAAAATAAGGTAATATAATTATTTATATACATTCTTTTTAGAAATGCTTATTTTTTTTTCATACGAGCAAAAAAAATTTGATGTAATGGAGAATGTTTTGAAGTTTTAATAAATTTATTTAATCCTTATTCCTTCCTAATAATTAATGTTATATAGACTTTTGCTCTCTGCCATATATTATCTCATCCTTGATTAAACCATGGATATTATTAATATTATCGAAACAGAACCCATATCACGTGAACAATATTCCAATGAATTTAGTGATATTGAAATTGCTCCTACTTCAAAGTCTCAAAATGACGAAAATAGAATGGGTAATTTGTTACATGAAATGTATTTAGTTAATTTCATTTAATCATGACTTTTTATTTTTTTTATGAATCCTAGTCTTTCCTATAGATGATGATGTGAACGATGATAATAATGATGATACCACCAATGATAAACCATATGATTCGGATGATGATAATCCACTTTTTCAAGAAATCAAACAAAAATTTAGAAAAAGTAAGTTCAGCAAAATTATTCGAATGATGTAATTGATTTGCTAAGAGATTTTAATCCTTGATTATTTTATAGAAAATGTATCCGACAAACCTAAACCACTCACTTTGCCAATATTTACAAATATAAGAAATAGTTTAACCTTTGCGAAGAAAAAATATGGAAAACGTAGGAACGATGAAAATTTTATCATTTATAATTTATTGAAAGTATATAATAAAACAATTTGTTATTTAGCACGTTCGTCAAGCCGACCTCGTTCTTCTAGTGGATATAGTGCGGATTCGGGGGGTAGTGAATCATCTAAGAGAATTAATCATATTACAATTGGTTAGTAAAAAAATGATTTTATTGAAAGTTTCCTTTTATCGGGATATTAATTTAATCATTTATTTGGATAGACAATGATATTGATGATGGAAAGAATCCGTCATCTACATTTTCATCTGGTATAGGTATTCCTGTGTTTAATTACATACAGTATATTTTTTTCATTAAGTCCTAATATTTTCTTTAAATCAAAAGGTGGCCGAAATTTGTTTGATGAATTTAAATCTATTGACATTTCTGACAGTGAAGAAACGTCAACATCACAAAAGAAAAAATGTATGTATTACTTTAATTGATGGTTAATTTAAATTTTAAAATATCTATAATTATTAATCATTTTTTTAAGATACTCGAGGAGATGAGTCAGATAAACTTTACAACTTTACTTTTGATGAGGAAACCTCTAAAAATGATACAGTTGAAATATCAATCGGTAAATTTTAATGACTTGCTTAAAGTTTGTAAGTTCGGATTAATTTATCAAAAATAAAGGAAAAAAAAAAATAATAAAAATAAATTCAAGATTCGCGACGTAACGAACTGCATGATTTTGACATGTCTGATAACGACGACGACGCAAATCAACGTTCCCGTAAAAAATCAACAATAATTGGTAATTTTTTTTTTTTATGATTTGATGTTCAAGTTTATCTATGAAGTAACATTATATTTATTGAATTTCAGTCTCTGATGAATCTGATGGTGGATTCGAAACTGATTTTTTTGATGATGAGAACAGCACAAAGAAAGATTTATTCATTAAACCGGATGGTTAGTATTTTTTCATATTATATTAATTCGACCATTATGTAAATGAATAAGATTTCAATTTATTCTACGTTACAGGTCAATTATCGGATGACGAACGGGAATCGAATTTAAACGATGTATATTCTAACCGCTCAAAAGCCCCAAAGAAATTTTCCAAGAAATCTAAATGTAAAAAATTTCATCATGAAAGTTACTGGATTCGCAGCATCGATTAACAAGTTAACCTATTTGTTATGCTTTTTTCTCTTTAAAAAAAAAAAAAAGTAAATTCGTTAAGTTACCTTTCCGACGCGTCCGAGGAGTCCGAAGATGAAGACTATTGCCCAATAATGTCTATAAATAATGAAGATAAACAAAAAGGTGAAGTCGGAAAATTTATTATAACAATTCATTGTTTACATTTACTAAAGTTCAATGAATATAATAGAAAATTCAAAAAAAAAGGAATCATTCTATCTCGACACCGATGAAGATGAGCCTAGCGAGAAAGAAAAAAAGTCGAAATATGATGGTATGAAAGTTTAAATTTTATAATGGTTGAATAGATATATATTTTTTTTATTATAATTTTTCAAATGATTAATGAGCGTAACCTTGAAGATAATTCGCCAAGATTACTTTCTGCCAAAAAACCTTTAGGTTCATATCGTTTCTTATTTTCGTTCCTTTTTTGGGATAAGACGGCCTATGATTAATGTTGTGTTATTTATTGTACAAAGGCTCGAATATAGACGAGCCGAATACGGAGAATCCGATGAATATTGGCGGTGCTTTTGATGAATCTATTTTAGATGATGACTTAAGTTTAGATGATTATATTGCTGTAGATAAGCCAACATATTCATCAAAAAAGAAGCAGAGTCAAAGACAGATAATAATTCACGAAGAATCGAGCAGTAAAAAAAAATCTCTATACTTTGCTATTGATGCTTAATAAATGAAATTTAAATATTAACATTACTGTATTTAATTATTAGATATTACCGAACTTCAACCGTCTTTTCAACCAGGATCCTCGCCAATGAAAAATGGTCGTCGATATTTAGGTATTTAAGTATTTAATTGTTCCATGCTTTTATTATTTAAATAATTGATTTCTAAAATTTACTTGATTTTTTAAGCTATAAATTGGCTTGGTAGCATTCATGCGGTAGATAATACTACTTATCATTCAATAACTGTCGAATATAATAACAAAACACTTTACAAAGGATACACCTTTCGCGATGAAGTTGGCTATACTATGGCTTGCCTCGGTACTAATTTATTTGTAATATGTATCATTCCTTTCATGATAAGAAACATCAGGCTAATGTTAATTTGTTAAAGGCACACAGGGAGTGCTCTTTGCCGTAGAATCTGACTCAGAGAATCCAAGTGTTTTATATTATAAACCAAATCAAAGCTGGTCCCAAAAGAGTGATTGGATGACAACACTTCATCATGGTGAAGATATTACAGGTAAAGATCGATTAAACATCCATTTTATAATATATGATGTTAAATTTATTTTCCATTTATTACATATAGCTATTGCTTTAAGTGAACAAGCAGTTGTCGTAGCAACATCTAAAAATTATTTGAGATTCTTCTCTCCTTTTGGTTTTCAAAATTACATATTCTCTTTTCCCTCTATCGTCTGCATGGCTGCATATAATAATCTTCTTTTGATCGCTCATCATTTAAGTGTTGCTTATAAAGGTATATTTTGATTTTTTTGATTGTATTTGATATTTGTATTCTCCGATTAATACTAGTATTTAACTTTGCTTTGTATGTAGGTTCACAAAATCTTGGATACGTTTTGTATGATATGCATGAACGCGGTGATGTACAAAAGGATGTTTTACCGATATCTAAAGAATCTACCTTGAGATGGTTGGGCTTTTCGGAAGAAGGGGTAAACCATAATGTTAATTTATTATTAAAGTGGTTAATTACATCGAAGCTTTATTATTTACGTACTATTATTTTAACGTAACTATTTAGATGCCAGTAATGTTTGACTCTAAAGGTATCCTTTTTGTCCTTCACGATCATCGAATATACAAACAAGCAAGATGGGTGCCTATATTAGATACTGCCAACATCGTAAATGATCCTACTAAGCCTGATATAGACAAATCAAAGAAGAGTTCGGATGTTCTTAATATTTTTGATGACACCTCTAAGACGGATATCTCTGAGAACAAAAACGAAAAGGATGATGAAAAAGATTATGAGGAAAGAGATAAAGAGAAAGAGAAAGAATGGATATATTGGCCAGTTGCGGTCATTGAATCTAAATTAATTTGTTTTATTCTGAAGGTAGTTATCAAATAAGTTTAGTTTCGTGATTAATCAATTATTTCTTGTACTTTTAATTCCAAACTTACGTCAAATTTTTTTTTTTTTTGAAGTACGGTGAAGACGTGCCCCGTTATCCTCGACCTACATACGACGAAGTTAATTGGCAAATGCCACTCTTACATCTTGATAAAGTGAGTGGACGTTGTGAAGAAAGGTTAGCTTAATTATTAGTTCTTTGTTCATGGCGGATTTTGTAGTAATTTCAATAAACAAAAAAAAAAAAATCTTACATGATCTATTGACATAGATGGATACGCGAGTCTATCCTATCGAGCTTTGAATACCAAGAAGCCAATGCAAAGGATGAATTGAGTGTCGTTAAAATTACGGAACTAAGGAAGAAAGAAAGAGATACTAAAAAGATCATAATCGAATTAATCCAGGCTAGTATCTAAATTTCATTTAAAAAGCTTTTTAACGGTTTTTAAGTTTTAAGCATTTGATTAAATTTGCTTGAAATAAAATATAGATAGCTGTTACTGAAGAAAGATATGAACGTGCTTTGGAATTAGCGAAGTTGCTAGATTCAAGAAAGTTTTTGGAATCTGCATTACAAATTGCAATCTTTTATAATGTTACAAGTTTAGCTGAAAAAATCCATCAACTGCAATCAGTAAGTTGATCTTTTATTTGAGTAAAAAGAATCATCAATAAAAAAGTATACATTATTAATCGTTTATATATTATTATAATCTTGAAAAGGAAAAAGAAAAGTCAAAAACAAAAGAAAGAGAAGCTATATTAAATAGATCGATGTCGTATTCGAAAACAAAGTAAGTAAATTTAAAAGTTAAAATAATCTATTATTGATAAAACCAGAAATATTTTCAATATCATATATATATATTTTTTTTTGTTGGGTTCAAGTGGTTCGATACTCTTATCTGACCTTAATCATAGTTCGACTAATTTGAGTAGGTCTCCACCAAACCGCGAAGATTCACCAACCAATCCATTAAAACGAAGCGTAAAAGATATGAATGATGGAATACAGGAAGTCGATGAAAATTCACCAAAACCCAAGAAACCGGCTGTACCTATAAATTCCTTTTTTAAGAGAAAATCGCTCACTTAATTGAAATTGTTTAATTTTAAATATAGAATTAGATATTTTTTTATATTTTAAAAATTTGAATCGAAACATCATCCTTCGTCATGTGATAAAATTATATATAAATCACGCATTCCATAGAATCATCCTTTTTTTTTTAGTGTTAGTAATGAAACCATTTTCTTTTAAGTTCACCCATTCCTTGTTATCATTAAATCCGCCAAGCAAAATAAAGATTGAGCAAATAATCGAAAGTTGAAAGGATGTTTTGTTTAGTCATAAATTTTTTATTTTAAATTTGATAGTGTAGAAATTAATTCAAAGTTTTTTTTTTTTTTAAAAAAAAAAAAAACCTATATATATATTATTTTCAATTTTGGAATAAATTGTTCTCTGTGTAATTTGAAATTGAAACGCGTTTACTGCGCCTATATTAAAACTAATAAAACTCCACATTAAGTAAAGTTTAAATTAGGTTATAACAAGTCTCGTTAGGGAATAGTCACCTAAACTGACTCCTCTTTTGTAAGATATTGAAGAAGAATCATTGATATCTCTGTCAAGATTTGTGTTGCATTAAGGACAGCAAAACACCTTGGATATATTCTTCTGACATCACAGATGCTCACGTGCCTTATGGATCAGATGCTGTTGAAATTTGACTAATGTCATTTTTCCCACCCAATAGCAATTTTACTTTTTCATAACAAGTTATAAAAGTACTTATAGATGGATCCAAAGTTCTTACCTTATTTTTTTTTTTAATAATTTAATAAAGATTTAAATAAATAAAAAACCTTTTGTATTACTGAAAATAAAAGACCTTATTTTTTTGGACTATTTCAAGTTGGTTAGGTATACAAAGGTAAAATTGACCAAGGCGATTTAATACAAGGCGACTATCATATTCATTGAAAAGTTTCTGCTGATTTAATTTTATGAAGAAACGCGTATTTTCTACGAGATTTGCTCGTGTTTAGAGTGTGTATTACAATAGATTGTTGACCTTTTTTAGAATGAAATTTCATTTTAAAATTTTTATGAATTGCAATAAAATTGAAAGCATATTCTTTAAGCAAATTATCCATAGCTTCATTTTATTAAAAAAAGTGGAAAAAAAAAATGAAAAAAAAATAGTGATTCGATCAAGAAAATTTCAGTGCCATGAGACTTTAAAATCTATATTAATAATGCTTTATCATGTCATTAATTCAAACTTCTAATCGTAATAACTCTAAGAAAAAAAGGAATTGTAATAATTCATTTAGCGCAATGAAGTAAACTTAATGAAATAGAATGTTCATCTTCTTCAAGTACAGGTAATCAAGCAGTATTCCGGATCTGGTAAAAACTTCGCTGAAGGATATTTTTAAGACTAATTTCTTCAAACACGGAACTGAGACGTCATACGTCTTTTTGAATTATGCTTGCATTTTGGTGTAATCTGTTATGAGTCAGGCTGTATACTAATAAAAAAAAAGAAGTTTTTGTTTAGGAATATGAGTTACAGTATTATAAGTTATTTTTCCTTTAATATTCGATATAACATGCGGAGGTCCACACAAATTCGGAATGTTCGAAATTGACACAACGGTTTTAAAACTTTAAATATGAGCAGCAATAATAAAACAAATGGCTGAATGAATTATATAAGATGTTTGCCATTACAATCATGTTCGGATCATATGATCAGCTGTCTCGTAAATATAACAAATGACCATAAAAGTCTGCATGCTTTTATAGATACAATATGATTTTGACAATCTAACTAAGCACAAATTTACTAACAACAAATGTAAAGTCAAGGAAGGTGAATACAATTATATGAAAGAAAATCAAAACATAGATAGAAACGTCGGTACTTAAACGTTCTCATTAAAATAATCTATTAATTTCAAATGAATTTGCTAATTCTTGCGTTTGAAAATATTTAACTCCAAAAGTATCTAGAATGTTGAAAATTGATGTTGATGTACTGTACATTTATTGAACATACAAAAATAATTATATCCATTTTTTTTTTTTTATGTAAGATGTTATTGTTAAAGAATATTTAAATGGAAGTTTGCCATTAAAATCACGTTACGGATCATATGATTTACTATGTTCGCAAATAGACCCTTACCACATTTCGATATAAACTTGTACCCAATCCATGTATTTATGCCGATTATAAAGTACGTCCTAGTCCAACAAGTTTTCATGTATTAATGGGCACTCGTATCACACGATTCGAAATTATATAGTAATAACATATATAAGATTTATAAATATAATTTTCTTCAAAACAGTTCTTGTATATTAAGACTAGAAAGTCTAGAAATGATATAAAATTCAGAGATAATTAAACTAAAAAGAAATATTATTATAGCTTGAAATTTATATTTTTTTATATTACTTGTTATAAGATTTTTGATCGTGCGTACTTTGTTATGCGACTGTACGCTTATAAAAATAGAAAGTTATATAAAAAAAAACATTTAATATTCGATTTACATGAAATCAAAGATGTCTAAAAACTGTCTTCGTCGTTAACTATAAAATTCAAGAATGATAAATCACTAAATTTACTTCAGTCATAAAAGAAACGAAACATCAATAAGACCTGAATAATCCGGGTAAAACGGATCATTTTTAATGTTTGACACTTTTTTCTTGATGAACTTTATTAATTAATTATTAATAAATATGTTTATTTAATATTTACTAACAATATTAACAAGGTTCGATTCCAAATTATAAAGCTTTCTTCTATAAAATAAGTTATTATTATTAACCACCAAAATGAATAAATATTAGATTCCAAATTCAATAACTATTATATTTGGAAAATCAGATTTTGATTGGTTGATTTGGGGCTCCGGAATCACAAATCAAATTTGATTCCCAATATTATTAGCTACCTTATAGGTAACGGTAGTTATTCGGCTCGAAGTGCCGGATAAGTGATTTATCCGGTGTCCCGTGATTAAGCTATTGTTTACTATTTTTTAACAAAACCTCCTCAGGTATATCACATATAATAGCGCCTTTTTTTTGTTTTTCCATTAGGATGTTTAAAGGTTTCTGATAAGTTTATACCATTCTATAGCTCTAAACATTCAGGACATGATACAGCAATTCAATCAATATTTGATGTTGGAACGAAGAAGTTGAAACAATCTTAAAATAACAAATGAAAATTCATCCGCCGTACCCTGAGGTATTCCCAAGCATTCGTGATTGCTTGTTGTTCGACAGGAGTATTTTTACATTCTTATTATAACGATATTATTATATTTCAATTTTATATTACATTTAATTGCCCGAAGCGTAAGCGTAGGACACTTCCATTCTACTGCAAACCATGCATGTGTTGTCTGTCCGCACGCGTGATATGGCCAATCAGAAACTGGATCGGGTGTAACGTATTGAAGTGTGTATTTTGTTTACATAATACTATGAAACGCTTCGGACGCTCTAACGGTTCCCGTTATCTAGTTTAAATTGTATAGTCATCCAATGGTTTTAGTAAGGTTTCGCAATTATTAAATAAAAAAAATAAAAACCATTGCAAGAAAATTCTTCTGAATTAAATACAAATAAAAGAAAAAAAGAAAGGAAAATAAATAAAACTTATTATACAAATTGTTCTATATATACGTTTTTATTAACACAAATAATGCTTGATAAAAGTTATTGATTATTTTTTTTGCCTGATAAACGATTTATTATAGTCATTATTAATTATAAAAAATCACGGGATAATGTAAACATCAGGAATATTGATTATTAACTTTTGAATAATAATATTATGTGTGATTCAATCTTTTATATAAGCATTATAATGTGATAAATGTTGGATCACTTGTGTACATTTTATAGTTAAACCTCTATAGTTCTATGCCAAGTGACACATAATGGTCTGATAAATTTTATCGTATTTTTCACGTTCTGCATATCAATTATGTGGATCAATCAAATTTTGTCCAACATATCAATTTTTTGAATTAATGTCGATCAATGTAAAAATATCGCGTCCGCATTAAATAAATTTTATTTACATTTTACTGAAAAGGTGAACAATAGATAAACTTTATAAATTAATTGATACATGAAAAAATTTATTATAAATAATCAAGGATGTCTTTTAATTCTAGTGAATTGTCTAGTTCCTTCTTTTGAAAATATCTATACTCAAAGGCTTCGGGAACATCTGGTTGGAATTTATATAGTGGTAAAAATGGTTGTACGCTAGGAACATAATTCTGATCTCTTTCAGTAGATATGAATCGAACATAATCTATTTTCTATAAATATTTAAAATTATAACTAATTAAATTTTTTTTTTTTTTCATATTACAACAATCTCATGGTTAAAATAATATAATGAAATCCATACCATATCAATAAACCCATGTTTTATTTCAATTGAAGGTTTCACCCATGTAAATTGTAATGTAAATGGCAAACTGTATTCAATCCAACCCAATCCAATAAGTTTTGATAAATCTTCATATGTTAAGGTATGCTTATGCGGCAAATGATCCTATCATCAAAATAACGAAACGTTAACGATATTTTAATTACATAAAATCAATCATAGTAAGAAAACTTACATCATCTTTAATTATAAAATTCAAAGAACAATCTTTAGACGATACATCATTAATGCATATTCTCCAAACGATATAAAAACCCCAATAAGGCTTCAATAAATTAGGTAAAACCATAATTAACGGCTCATTTTTGACGTGTAACACTTTTCTTGATAAACTTTATTAATGAATCATAATCAATGGTTAATATAATATCACATAAACACGCATTGAGGATGATAACATAATATATTTTACCTTTTGTTATTAACTTCTTGAATATGATGAAAATATTTACTATCAATATTGACAAGATTTGATACAAAATAAACTCCTATCACTATAAAAAAAAAGAAAAGAAAAATGTTAATTGATTTTTAATATTAATAAGAAAAATAATAATTAAAAATTTTCATACCGAAATGCATATAAATATAAAATTTTTCAACAATTCCAAGACCGATAAATTTATTATCAAGATTATAATAGCTGCATAAATACTTCAGGAAACCAGAATGTCTTCGTAAAAAATAAAGGAACTGAATATCTTGACGATTCAAGTCAAACAATCTATTCAAATTTTCTAATGCTTTATCATACATTTTCAACTTGATATATATGTTACATTTTATAAAACATTTAATCTGATCGTTAATTTTAGTAAAACGATCAATTTTTGCGATGATTTTAACAACCTTATGACTTAATTTTTTATAAGCACGATAATGTAACATAAATTTCATAAATATTAAATGTATCTTTGCCAAATCATCATTGGGACTTAATTGTATACATTTTTTAAAATCCAAAATTGAAGTGCTAACGTTATCCATTATATAAAAAATTAATCCTCTATAATAATATGCCAAACTATATAACGAGTCTAATTGTAAAATTCTATTGATATCTATCAACGCATCATCGTATTTTTCAAGTATAAGATATGTTATGGCTCTCTTGATTAAATTATGAACATTTTCTGGATCAATTTTATTTGCTTTGGTAAAATATGATATTGCCTCATTGTACTCTTTTAAACTTAGTAAAATTTCACCATAATAACATAAAATTAAAGAATCTTTCCGATTAATAGTTAATAATTTATCCAAGATTTCTAAAGCTTTTTGATGATCTTCTTGCTTTCGATAGATAAAAGCACAATTCTTTAAACTCAAATAATGGTTGGAATCCTTTTTTAAGACAACGTTGAAATTGTTTAAAGCGTGATTATAACAATCCTTATAACTTATTCCAAAAATATAACTACTGCCAAGTATGATATTTAAATTATTCATCTTTATCTTGCAATCTATTGATTTTAATATAAACTCTATTGCCATACTATAATTCCTTTGCCTATAATAAATCTCTCCATTGATATAGTAAGCGATCGGATTTTTTGGTTTGATGTCGATAGCCTCATTGAGATATACGTGCGCCTGTTCATAATTATACAAGCATCTGTAAATGTACCCTAAAATACATCTTATGCAATAATGTTTTGGAAATTTTTTCAGAAATTCTTTACACCAATATATAGCTCTCTCATAATTCTTTCCTGTCAACTCCTTCATAGCATTTTGATATGTTGTATGTTGTTTTTTTGAACTTCTATTTGGCATTATCGCTTGGAATAACGTATTTGAATTTGATTTCGTTGTTCTGATGAGGTTCTTTTCTTTGATCAATTCAAATTCAATCTCTGATAAATTGTCCGAGTCGGAATCACTTTCGTCCGAATCTTCAAAGTCAATGGAAGGTAAATTAGATGAAAGATGTCCGGGCTTGGAAAACTGCGCACTTACATTTTTATAGATGGTATTTTGTGATAAATGTCTAATCTTGTTATTCTCAATATATAGTCGACATTGTGGACACTTTGCTTGTTTTAAATCTTTCAAATTATTTAATGATATCATATGTTGACATTCCAAGAGAATTATTTGATCAGTCGGTACATCGCTTATTTCATCATAAGAATTATTTCTCCTTCCTTTTTTCCCTTCAGTAGTAATCTCAACATCCTTTAAATACCTTTTCTTAATGAATTCTAATAAAACTTTAAACTTTGCGGAAGAATTAATTAAGAAATTATTCTCACGTAACTCTCGTGCGTATTGATCTAAATCTATATCTAACATTGTAAACAATTCACTATTAATATCATGTAGGTACAATAGTATTTCAATTGCCTTAAATTGAATAAACCTGCTTGGAGCTTTATTGAGGGATTCAATTGCTAAATAATAACACTGGTTATACGTACTCGACTTGGATGATTGTTGAACG